TGAGGTTTTACATTTAGGTCTCTGATCCATTTGGAGTTAACCTTTGTGCATGGGGATACACTATACATTCTTAAAAAGCTTCACAAAATACAACTCCAGGCTCTGTCAAAGCATATGGACTTGATCGGGCTTGGTGGCTCAGCCTGTAATCTCAGCACTTTGGGAGGCTGAGGAGAGTGACTGCTTGAGTACTCGAGACCAGCCCAGGCAACTTGGCGAGGCTTCGTCTCTACAATAAATAAAAAATTAGCTGGGCGTGGTAGCGCACGCTTGTAGTTCCAGCTACTTGGAAGGCTGAAGCAGAAGGATCACCAGAGCCCAGCAGGTCAATGCTGGGGTGGCCATGAGTGTACCACTGCACTCCAGCATGGGCAATGGAGTGAGACTATAACTCAAAGAAAAAAAAAGAGTATGGACTCCATTAATAATCCAGTTTACACTAGAGATACCACCTAAAACCAGTGAAATTTACAAAAGATAGCCTGGAGTAACTATGACAAACATGCAGAGGTAATTCCGCTACTTTCCATTCCTGTGATCAAGAAAGGGATTGCTAGGCATTTACTGAATTTGTGTCTGCTGACCCTGGTTTCAGAAGCCTTATTAACACAGCATCATATTCTCACAGTAACAAAGGACACAAGATAAGTAGACCTCTCTGTCATCATTTACCATTTTTGTTCTAAATCTATATTCCTGTAGGTGGTATCATCTTAACTTTGGATTAAACTTGGTCATCAGGTTATATTTCTACAATACTATACTTATCTTCTTTGGAGGAAAAGTCATACTCCATTCTTGATTTTTCTCAAAGTATAATATAAGAAACTGCTGGCTGGGCTCGGTGGCTCAGCCTGTAATCCCAGCACTTTGGGAGGCCGAGGTGAGTGGACTGCCTGAGCCTGCGGGTTCGAGACCCGCCTGGGCAACTTGATGAGACCTCATCTCTACAACAAATCAAAAAATTAGCTGGGCGTGGTAGCGCGCGCCTGTAGTTCCAGCTACTTGGAAGGCTGAGGCGGAAGGATCGCCGGAGCCCAGCAGGTCGAGGCTGCAGTGGCCGGAAGCGGCTACTGCACTCCAGTTTGGGCGACAGAGTGAGACTCCAACTCAAAAAAAAAAAAGAAATTGCTATATGAAACCCATAAGTAGTAGAGAAATATGGCATTGTCTAATATATTAATCAGTATCCCTATATATATTTCATGTGTGAGATTTCCTTTGGAATTCGGTAAAAATGTAATGCTTAGCTTTTGAGAAAATGACACCTTTCTTTCTTTCTGAAAAGAATTTAGCTCTAAGGTTCTAGGCAACCAAGAAAGTTTAAGTAACTGTGATCAGGACCAACCATGGTTCCCCAACTTAGCTCTCAAAATCACCTGGATAATTTCTTCTTTAATACCACTGTTGGCCAGGCCTGGTGGCTCATGCTATAATCTCAGCGCTTTGGTAGACTGAGGTGGAAGGACTGCTTAAATAGGAGTTCAAGACAAACCTGGGCAACATAGCAAGACTTCATCTCTATTATAAACAAACAAACAAACCACTGTTGTTGTTCATCCATACATTACATAATAGATAATTAATGTAAACAATAGATAATTAATGTAAAAAATAGAATAAGGTAGAAATGCAAGGGAAAAATCTTCCATTTTGAAAGAATGCATTTCCCCAGACATAAACGTGAAAACAGTTTCTTTGGTATTCTTATAGTTAAATAATTTACATACATAAACTATACTATAAAAATAAAGGTAAATACTCAAAAACTCATGATTTCCTAATTATTCTGTTTCTAAATAATTTTACATTTTACTATTCCCTTGAAGTTACATATATCTATTGTATCTGGTGGAAGCACTAAGTGTGCTGTGTGCATCTCTTCCCAGTCCAACATTTAGTGTGGTCACATTGGTAGCTTTTTTCTTTTTTTTGAGTCAGAGTTTCACTCTGTCACCCAGGCTGGAGTGCTGCAGCCTCGAACTGCTTGACTCAGGGGATCCTTCTACCTCAGCCTTCCAACTAGCTAGAACTATAGGCTCACGCCACCACACCCAGCTCATTTTTTGATTTATTGTAGAGATGAGGTCTCTCCCAGTTGCCCAGGCTGTTCTTGAACCCCTGGGCTCAGGCAATCCTCTCACCTCTGCCTCCCAAAGTGCTCAGATTACAGGAGTAAGCCACCATGCCTGGCCATATTGGTAGCTTTCAATAGGCTACTGTAGGGGGTACTTTATATCGTGGAATTTTGCAAATAATATGAATTAGTTCCCTTTCCCCAGCTGTCAAGCATTACCAGTGCACGGCTGCCTACATGTGTTTTACTCAAAGGAAACTACAGCATGTTTCTATCAGGAGGACAATAGAACACTATACATAGGGGGAATTAACAGAATTTAATGAAATAAAAAAGGCAGCCCAGCCTGTATGACAATCAAGTTTAAAAATGGTCTCATGCAAGATGAAGAAAAAGATTTTCCACCCTTTATCATAGCTCACTCCAATTCTGTTTGAATATTCGTTCTCTAATATTAACAGACTACAGTGAATTTTAAAAATAGAATCTTAATCTTAATAGGGAATCCTAAAAATAGTCTATAACAATGGTTTTCTGACTTTTTTCAAAGTATTATTTTTTCCCCAAGAGGAAATCTTTCTTAAGAACCTCATAAATAAAAGATTTAAAAGCAATTAGCAGGTGCCTGAGACAATTTAATTTCATTGATTATAGAATCCTCTGAGAACTATTTGAAAAGCATCCCCTATAAATGATTCAGTACTTTCCAAAGCTGTCTATGTATGAATATAAAAATCAACTGGGAGGGAGAATCTCTGGCAATAGGGCCCAAGAATCTAAATTTCAAAATTTCACATCTTCAACAAACTAAGGTGTGATAATATTATGTTTACTTCAGTTTGGGATTAAAACTGATTAAGAGTAAGCAACATGCTGTCAGCATGGTATGGATTCAGTTTAACTAGATTTTTTTTTTAACATAGGCAATGTAAAAGTCATTATTAGGTTACCTTGACTTTTGCCAAACTCTATACTTAGATGCTAAAATAAATGTTAAGTGATCATGATAAAGGAAAAAAGTTACAAAAAATAAACTAGAATGATAACAATTTACTATGTCTTTGAAAATAATCCATTAGTGCCTGCTTAAGACCAGATAATTACAAGCAGTGCAAGGTCCAGTGATAACCAATGTATTTGTGTAAGTTACCCTGTGATAAACTTCCTATCACTGCTGAAGTAGCCATCAGGTAGCAAAAGTTCATGCATGATCACTGGCAAAATAATATGTAACTTTTGTCTTATACAAATATTAAGAAAAAGATCTGTTGCTAAAAATCCCTGTTAGTAGAGAATTCTCATTTAGTAAAACAATGGTTAAGCGGCTAAAACCTTAAGTAAAAATATGAAAATTACATAGAGGAAGAAAAGGTTAAGCCCATTTAAAAAAAGAAACCCAAATCCCACATTCTATAACCAATAAACCAAACAAGTTTAAAACCACCAAGGAGAGAAAAAGACAGTGAAAATTCCTTTGAAAGACTTTATTTTACTTGTTTTTCATAACAGTCATCAAGAGCTACGAAGCTTGGAATTTTCATGTTGTCAGAGCTAAACTTCTAATTTTATTCAAGAGGTTCTAATTTCTACTCTAAAAAGAAAGCTAAAGATAAAACCAAGGGAAAGGAAAAAATCAAACCACTGTAAATCAGACTCGAACTTCTTCATCTCCTTCCCCACTACCACCCAGCCACGCTCCACTACCACCACAAGGGCCTACTATGTGGTAGACCCCGACAAAGAAAAATGCTTAAAAGAACGCTGAACTCTGTAGAATACACTGCAGAACCCTGAAGCACTCAAGTAACTCAGCATCCTGTGGGCAGAGTTCCACAGAGTGACTCACATAGTTGAAAGATGACAATGGTCTCTACAATCTGCAGCATTCCACAATTTCCAACTGCAATTTTTCCATTCTGACTGTCACTACAAATAAGAAACTCATAGATGGGGATGGTATTATTGTTCTAGTTCTACAAGTCATCAAAGTAAGGCTCAGAGAGATAAAGTATCTTATGAATTAAGCACTCGGCAAGTATTAAAGTCAAAACAAAAAAAAAACACAGACCTGTACTCTTTCCTCTATACCAAAAAAAGCCCCCAAAACAAAACTTGTACTTCATAACAATGTATAGCTCATAGCATATCCCCAATATTAGTAGCTGAATGAAGTCAACATTCAGAAGCTTTCTAAGTAATTGTAATCATGACCCACCAATATACTACCATCATATATAGAAAGATATCTGAGACCCATTTTTTGATTGTAAACTAAATCGACATAAAGGAGAATCTTTAATGAACATTCATCACATGCTCCAATTCCTATCACACTGGTTAGGTAACTATATTTGAAGGAGTTAAGAATTATTCATACCATCTGATCAATTCCTGACTCCTGAATAACTCTTTTTTTTTTTTTTTTTTTGAGTTGGAGTTTCACTCTGTCGCCCAGCCTGGAGTGCAGTGGCCGCTGGGCTGGGCGATCCTTACACCTCAGCCTTCCGAGTAGCCGGAATTACAGGCACGCGCTACCACGCCCGGCTAATTTTTTGATTTATTATAGAGATGACGTCTCGCCTGTCCAGGCGGGTTTCGAACCCGTGGGCTCAGACAATTCACTCACCTCAGCCTCCCAAAGGCGTCGGATTACAGGCCGAGCCAGCGAGCCCGGCTCTGAGTAACTCTTAAATCAGAGGAACTGTTTATTTTATTTAGCCCCTTAAACACAGGATTTGTAAAACCCAAACTTACTATTAGGCCCATCGACTTAAAGATAACTTGAGAGTTCAGTTGTAATCTAAGGTTTTTTAAAAAAGCTTCTGGTGAAGAAAAATCACACACAAATCAATTTTGAAAATGCTGAAAAAACTTTGTCTCCTAAAACAAAATCTCTACACAAATTAAAGGAGGATGACTAAGGAAAGCCATAAACACAGATTTTACCTTTTTCTGTGCAATTCATTCAGTATCACATGACTACGTACGAAACTTCCCTGAATTGAACTCAGATCTAAAATTTCACCGTTTTCCCCTCAAACATTCATACCTGCTGTGCAATCTAAGCTACAGTCACTTCAAATGAGCAATGAAATTCTTTTCTAGGCAAATTTAGTATTTTGCTTTCACATAATCTTTAATTCTTATTCATTAAACCAAAACAGGTAACACCAATGACATACTAGGTGCCAAGGTGCTGCTTTTTCTATCACTAGGGATATAGTAGTAAACTCTGCTTTTTAATTAAAACTAAATTTGTGATAATCTGGACCCAAAACATTCCATTTTCATATTTTGTAAACCACTTCCTTCATTTCATTTATTCAAATCATTCTAATACCTCTAGCATCTCCAGCTCAGTAATTTTTCCCATGCCACTCCCTACAGCCAGAACAATCTCTCTCTTTATGTGAGAGATCTCCCTCCTCTCATAGGCATGCTGTATGTCACTGTCTTCCATGAATGAGGTTTAAAGGTTTATTTTCCTTATTTTGTACAGCAAGCAAACAAAAACATAAGTTATATTACAAAAATAACAAACAGAACATAAAAATTAAGCATTGTAAAAGCATTTTAAAATATTCTCCATGTCCTCTTGAGATGATCAAATGACAGAGGGAACGCCTAAGTATTTTCTCAGCACAAGAAAATCAGACAGGAGAACTTTACTTCTATCTTGGATAACTTAGTAGAAAAGGACACAAACATGTGTGTCACAAGAATTACACTACCACTTAATTTAATTCTGACATCAGCGCAAAACCAGCATGCTGAGTGGTTGGCACTACCAAGCCCCTGGCCTCTTATGAAACACTGCTTGTTTTATAAAAGGCCATTTAGAATGACCCTATTTGAGAAATGATTTAATCTCCACAAATCCTGACTTTGCTATTTTTTTTTTCTCCCTGAAGAAACGCATATAAGTGATTAAATGAAGAGCAGTCTTTCTAGCAACTGAAAGGAAAGGATGTTAAAATTCCTCATCATGAGGGGACTATAAGACTAAAGACAAATATAATTAAATTCGATGTTACTTGAATGGATTCTGTATTAAAATCAACAATACAGCAACATAAGGCATTCTTAGGGCAATTGGGCATTTTAAATAGGAATTGTACTTCAGATGTACTTTTTTATTTTTTATTTTTTTGAGTCAAGGTCTTACTCTGTCACCCAGGCTGGAGTGCAGTGGCAAGACCATGATGATCATGGCTCACAGTCTCGACCTCTTGGGCACAAGTGATCCTTCCACCTCAGCATCCCCAATAGCTGGGACTCCAGATGCATGCCACCCTGCCTGGTTAATTTTTAAATTTTTGGTAGAGACAAGATTTCACTATGTTGCCTGGTCTGGCACTTCTGGGCTCAAGCAATGCTGCCTGCTTGGCTTCCCAAAGTGTTGGGATTACAGGTGTGAGTCACCCCACCTGGCTCTCTCAGTGTGTTATTTCTTAGGTGAAATTTGTCTTGTGTTATATAAGAGAATAACTAGGACTAAAATTTCATAATGTCTACGACTTACTTTTTTTAAAAAGAAAACTACTTTTGGCTGGGGTCGGTGGCTCAGCCTGTAATCCCAGCACTTTGGGAGGCTGAGGCAAGTGGATTGCCTGATCCCACGGGTTCGAGACCAGCCTGGGCGACTTGGTGAGCCCTCGACTCTATAATAAATCAAAAATTAACTGGGCGTGATAGTGTGCACATGTAGTTCCAGATACTTGGAAGGCTGAGGCGGAAGGATTGCCAGAGCCCAGCAGGCTATCAATATTACTAATCACTGATGATGTTAACCTGGATCACCTGGCTGGGGTGGCTGTGAGTGGGCCACTGCACTTTAGCCTGGGCGACAGAGTGAGACTCTAACTCAAAAAAAAAACAAAACAAAAAGAAAACTATGTTTAGGATAGTTTTACACATAGTACAGTTAGTTGCCATATGCTCCACACCTAGTATCCTCTATTATTAAGATTTTTTTTTCTGAGTTGGAGTCTCACTCTTGTCGCCCAGGCTAGAGTGCAGTGGCACGCTCACGGCCACCACAGCCTCAACCTGCTGGTTCAGGTAATTCTCTTGCCTCGGCCTCCCAAAGTGCTGAGATTACAGGCTGAGCCACCACGCCCGGCCTATTACTAAGATTTTACATTGAGCTGGGTGTGGTGGCTCACACCTGTAATTTCAGCACTTTGGGAAACAGAGGTGAGAGGACTATCTGAGCTCAGGGGTTCGAGATTAGCCTGGGCAACTTGGCAAGATCTCATCTCTACAATAAATAAAAAAATCAGCCAGGCTTGGTGACACATGCCTGTAGTTCCAGCTACTTGGAAGGTTGAGGCAAAAGGATCGCTTGGGCCCAGCAGGTCAAGGCTGTGGAGGCCATGAGCGTGCCACTGCACTACAGCCTGGCGGGAAACAGAGTGAGACCCCAACTCAAAAAATAAATAAAATAAATAAAAAAATAGAAGTGCATAATAAAAAAAGATTTTACATTGATATGACACATTTGTCACAATTAAGAAACTAATAATAATACTTAATTATTAACTAAAGTCCATACTTTATTCAGATTTGCTTGGTTTTTACATAATGTCTCGTTTCTGATTTAGGATCCCATCTGGGATTGCATCCACTTACCATATTACATTTAATCATCATGTCTCTCCAGGCTCCTTAGAAAGTTTCTCAAGCCTTCTTTATTTTTGATAACGTTGATTTTAGAATGTCCCTCAATTAGGGATTTTCTAAAGTTTTTCTCACAGTTAGTCTTAAGACATGGGTTTTGGGAGGATTATCACAAAGATGGTGGGTTATTTTCATCAACATATCAGGGATACATACTATCAATATTACTTATCACTGATAATGTTAACCTGGATCACCTGGCTGAAGTAATATATGTCAAATGAAGTTACTAACACCACCTCCGAGTTTTCCATACATACTTTTTGATATGAAGTCACTATGTACAGCTTATGGGGAGGGAATAACGAATTATTTTTTGGAGGGTGGGTCCCTTGTAGTACAGGCTTCCCCCACTAGGTAAGGTTCTAGGAACCCTTCAGCATCAGTGTAACAGCTAACATTGTTGTGAGAGGCTGCATTCAGCTTCAGTGAATTTTTTTGGAGATTCTTTCAACACATTTGCCCATTTCACGATGGATGATTTACACGAACAACCTGCCCACACCACACTGAGTGTTCAGCAGTTTTTG